GCTGGGTCGTGGGCTGGGTCGTGGGCTCCACTTCAGTGAGACACAATGAGCCGCCTGTTCTAACGTGGCGTTCTAACCATGTCACCAAATCTTAATCCCATGATGCACCTCTGGAATGTGAGCAGACCAGAGATTCAAAGTGTGGAGTGCAGCCCACAGGTGTGTGAAGAATGTTTCTGCCGTGGACCTTTGGTGTTTACCAGAGTCTGTGCAGCCGTGGGCCGGACCAGAAGATCTCAGTCCTTCTCTGAGCCTCTTCATGTTATTCTGCAGACCCTGCACGGCTGTGGTGAAGTCTCCAGTAGAGGCCGCTATCTCCATGTTTTCAGTCACAGCATCCAGCAGGAGCTGCAGCTCCTCCGGCTCCTTACTCTGAAAGAACATGGGTCATGGGTTCTTTAAAGACTGGATCAGACCAGGAATGACTCAGCGTCAGTTCCATCAGTCACCTGCAGGGAGGACAGAAGTCCCTGCAGATCCTGGTCTGAGCCCAGAACAGCCTGGAAGCTGTGGTGAAGGAGAGTGACCATGACGTCTGTGCTGGAGGACGGGCTGCTGCTGCTCAGCTGCCTGGACACAGACCGGACCTCAGGAGGGACGTCTTCATCTGGACTCACTAACAGGACCATGCTAATGGACACACACACACACACACACACACACACACTCAGTGGGTCTGTTACAGAGTGAATTGAGGTGAGGAGCGCAGACCAGGGTGTGAACTCACATGGTCCTGGAGGAGTGGACTTCAGAGGAGACACCTTGTTCTGTCCTCACCAGCCTTTGAAAGGAAATACCTGTAAATATAAATAAATACTTACATCTACCTTTAGAGGGCAGCACAGATAACATCCATTTGACCTCCTGTCTTCAAAGATGAACCAGTGAAGAAAGGCCAGTGGTTGGTGGTCAGTGGGTGCTAGCAGGATTAGCCTAGCCTAGCATACGTTGGCGTCGTACGAAGTCACCTGTGGGTGAACGTTAACCATCAGTTCTTCACTGATCACAAACTACCTGGTGCTCTGAGCTCCTGCTGGATGACCTGTAGGAGGCGTCTACTGGCAGAGCCGCAGGGTTCAGGCCAGGAGAGGAAACCATGGAAGAGCAGGTAGGCCTCCCAGACCACCTGACAGTCTGGAGACAGGTACGGAGCCTGAGACAGGAAGGAAGAAGGGAGACAATCAGTGTTGGCCTTTAAAAATAAGGAGCAGAAGGAGCAGAAGGAGGAGGAGGAGCAGAAGGAGGAGGAGGAGGTAAAGAAAAGTTGTATAATCCATGTCCCATTGACGTGGAGTCCATTGTCTTACTGTGAGGAGCGTTGAGGAGAAGAGCAGACAGAGGGGGACCACCAGGTGGTACTGACACTGGTCCTGCACCTGGGACACAGAGACAACACTGAATCCCAGGTTCTGACTCTGAGAGCAGAGAAAAAGACGGACGGTTTTCATCTCCACCTGTTTCGTTTTCCTCAGTATTTTCTGCAGCAGGATCAAGAAGTTGTGAGAATTTCTCTTCACCAGTTCCTCCAAACACCAGCGGTTTATGCAGAGTCCAGCTACAGACGCAGCAGTACAGACACAGTTATAGGAGATGAAGATTCTTCTGTAGGTGACATCCAACCCCAAACTTTTCATGCCTCAACTGTTGTGGCGCCCCCCAGTGGAGGTGCACTCTTTGTGGAGGTTGGACATCTACTTGTATTGGTGTCAGAGTTCTTACCGTTCCACAGCTGTTTGTCCGGACCGTCGAGGCCCAGGTCAGAGAGACAGCGCTCCAGAACGTGCTGGATCCGATCTTCGGTGCATGAGCTCCGCTCCATCGTCTACTGAAGCACGACGACGTCCGCAGACAGAGACAGAGACAGAAAAATAAACCAACGGGAAGTCCGAAAAATAAAGGAGAGCCTATGATTGAGCACCAGAAAACAAATTCACATCTTTGTTTTTCTCCACACTTCCTGTTTGTGCTGTTGATGTGAAGCCTCGGAGCTGCAGACTGGATCTGAGGCACGCTCTCCTCCTGCAGTTCCACTTCCTGTCACTGCTACTGAGTCAGGGGTGTGTGCGTGGACCGGAGGTCAGCTGGTCACCAACTTCACCACAACTTCTACTTCCTCACTTTTTAAAACAGCTGCTAACTCAAACTGGAGTCCGACTGCAGGACCACTTCCTGTTACTACTTAGTAACAGGTTACAGTTATCTTAATGGTTGAAGTCGAAGCATCGTCTCGACTGACTTCACTTCATGTTGTGACGAAGGGAAGTTCGGGATCAAGGAAGTGACACGTACAAGGAAGTGGTGACTGTCAGCAGCTGGGACAGAACTGGAGTCACCTTCATCACCATCACCACCACCTGGTATATAAACGTTCAGTCTGTCCACTGAGGAGACAGGAGTCGTTCTACTGTGATTCTATTGCCCTACTGCACCGTCCAAACTGACCTCAGAACAGATGTTGGTGTAAATATTGGCAGAGGAGAATAAATATCCATCACATGACGCTGAAGAATCCTTCATCATTTAGAAAACAGAAAAAAGAGATTTTAGAAATCCTGTGCTTTTTCTGACTGACTGACCGACTGACTGACTGAC